TTATAACTCTTGAACGGTTGCATATTTTTAGATGAAATTTGAAATTCGATGTAGCTTCCTATCAAGTTCTAAAAACCAGGATACTACTAACAGCAAAAAAAATCCTGAGGAGGGATCAGGAAAATGCTAATTTTTTTTTCGCAAACTCCGAGTGAAAATTTTTTTTTGATAATATTCCATCATTTGAATCCAACATCAACTTCCATAAGTTTCATCTGGATCAGAGATGGACAAAGTCGCACCGCGCCTCCCCGCGCCGTTGCTCACGCCTACGCTACACTTGTCTGAGCTTCGATGAGCGCATGCTTAGAGCATTCCGGTATTCGATGGAGTTTGAGAAACTGATTGGTAGAGCAAAGAGAAAGAGTGATGTGCGTAGCGCCTAGGCGCGAGCAGTGGCGCGGTGCGATTTTGTCCATCTCTGATCTGGATCCCATACTCAAAAGTCGAATACTGAAAAATCCTGGTTGCCGTCACTGTAATGAATATGTTATTGTTATATTTATTTTAGTCACGACGAATTGATATAATTATTGTTCCATATGCTGAACATGCATGTGCTCTACTTTATTTTACTGGTTCAATGTTATTCAATCGTTCAATGCGTCAATTAGCTGATGAAAATAATATGTATTTATCACAACATCGTTTACATGTTGGTGTTATTCGAATGGTAAATTTTGATTTTATTGTTTTTGTTTGTTAATAAAATTAATTTTATTTAGGGAAAAAATAAAGTTAATGAAGGTCGATTAGTACCAACACCAACTGAAGAATCAATATTTCAATATTTAAAATTACCTTATCGTCCACCAGCAGAACGTGATTATTAATTAGATTTTATAAGTATATTCTATGAATAAATCAGATTCAAAAAGTTTTTTTTTTTTTTAAGATAAATATTAGCTATTTCTTGAAATTATTGAACAAAAATAAAATCTTTGACTATTTATATAAATCGATTGAAAAATCTTTTCTTTTTTTTTTTTTTGTTCCGATACTTTTAATAATTATAGCTTATTGTAAATCAAAGATAATATAGAAACTAGATCTTTATTTTAAATAGAATAACACATTTATCCAAGACACTTTTTTTTCCAATGTATTTTCGATAACATAAAAAAATATGAATATATTATTTTATGAACATTCAATGAAAAATTTATTAATCTTATCAATCATAAAGTGAATAAAAAAAAAACATAATTTATCATATCCTATTTGAAAGAATAATAAAAACAAAACTTCTAGTTTTTATAATTATATAATTTCAAACATAAACTTTGATAGGAAAACAAATAGACTTGATGCGAGAAATATGTTTGAAGTGAATAGAAGTTATCAAGAATTTTTCGATATCGCTCTTTGTTTTTTTAACATGAAAAAGATTGATTTATTTACAATGCTTCTAAATTCTACAATTCCTTTTACATAACAGATTATATTAATTGAAATTTCAATGCAAATACTTCAATTTTTGCTATGGTATATACAAACTTTTAAAAAAATTTCTTTATTCCATTATAAAATTAATTTTGATTATGAATAATATAATTCAGATTCAATAAGTTCTTATCTTCATTTTGTTAAAACTAAAATTCGAAATGGAATTCAAAGTAAAACAAGTATAGGAAATCCAACAGCAGCTATTGTTTGTGATATTGTAAAAAGTATAGCAAAACCAATCAACATTATTAATGTATAGAAAAAAATTTTTTTTACGAGAAAGTCGAAGTAATAAATCATCTAATTTCATATGATTAAGATCACGTATAAGATGTAATAATCGATATGTTATAGTATTAACTTCAACTGAATCCCAACCAATACCAATAAAAACATCAGCTAATACAGCACGAGATATTAATGAATAACATTTAAGAAATGGACCAGTCATTGTAATCAGACAAAGTAAACTTTGACATGTATTTGTTAAACGTTGTTCTTTTATTTTCACTAAAACATATTGTTGTATTGGTCGACGTGATTTATGTGTTGTTATAATAGCTGTTGGTACTTGATTTTCAACAGATTCATCAATTGACCAAGTGCATCTGTATGCATAGCACATTGTGGAACAAGTGCATTTGGATATGGTAAACCAAGAAAACCAGCTATTATTGTTGTACATCCTAATAAAAAAAAATCCCAATGAAATCCTGCTGGTTTTCGTAATGGATAATGTTTAGCTTGAGCTGTTAAACTTGAAATATTATGATCAAAATAAAATAGAGCTGTTACAAGTAAACCAAATGGTAATGCTATAAAAATATATTTAATATCTAAATTTGATGGATTAATAAACCATGAACGATTAGATATAGTTGGTTTATAAGCAGTTGTTATTGATAAATGTTCAATATTTGTTGAACGTAAATGACCGGGTATAAAAGCAAAACCTGACCAAAAAATAACACTTATTATCATTGCATAATCAACAAGAAAATTACGAATTATTCGTGTAAAATAATTTGATTGACCAATATGTGTTAATATCCAATAGAAAAAAAAGAGAAATCAAAAGCAATTAAAACTGACATAAATCTTTTTGTTGATGATTCACGAAAATCATCTATAATAAATTCAATGCCTTTTTGAATATAAACAATACCAACATAAAAACCAAAAATTTCAGCAGTAAAATTTGTCATATATCGAACATATGTTACTGTATTAAATATAGCAATAAGCCAATGAAGAATAGCTGCCCATATAGCTACCCAACACATAAAAGATAAATAAGGTATTTGACTATATCGACTAATTATATTATATGTTGTATAATTAAATAAACTAATTAGTCCAGTAAAACCAACAATTGAAATAGGTTGTACAGCCAAAAGACCAAAGACAATGCATAAAGAAAAAATCAATTTTGAATAATAGGTGTGTTGCATAAGAAAACTATCTTGAGAATGACTGAACATATCGAGCTGTCCTTTGGTTTATAAGAGTTTCTTGACGAGCTCTTTTTTTGTCTCTAGAAAGTATTCTCCAAAACCCTCGAAAGTTGGTTTTCTAGAAAATGAGAAACCTGGTTTTTCAGTATCAAGAACTTTCAAAACAGTTTTGTTTTAACAATGTAGAATGATAGTGCAGCCAATTCTCTACAAAATGAGATGTCTCTGAGCTCTCTGCAATAGTTTTTGGCCGAGCTGTATCAACTTTAGAGAAGGCCTACAAGTCGTTTTTTGCGATTTTCTATGAAAAACCGAAAAAAAGACTTCTAGGCAGTCCGTAAAATTGATACAGCTCGGGTAAAAACCATCATAGAGAGCTCGGAGACATCTCATTTTGTAGAGAATTGGCTGCTCTATTATTCTACGTTGTTAAAACAAAACTGTTTTGAAAGTTCTTGGTACTGAAAAATCAGGTTTCTGGTTTTCTAGAAAACCAACTTTCGAGGGTTTTGGAGAACATTTTCTAGAGACAAAAAAAGAGCTCGTCGAGAAACCCTTATAAACCAAAGGACACCTCGATACGTTCAGCCATTCTCAAGATAGTCTAGATCAACTTTCTCATGTAACACGCCTATTGTCTATGACGAAAGACAGAGATTGAAAAAATATAAAATTTTCACAGTATTCTCCCTAGTTTTTCACAGAACTCGAAAACAAAAGCATGTTTTCACTATACGGAGCTACAGAGTGACTGATTCTATATAAAATAAGATGTCTCTGAGTTTTCTACAACATTTTTTTGATTGAATTACATCATTTTGAAGAAACATTCATAAATCCTTTTTGTCCTGCTTTCCCATAGGAAGTGGCTTCACTTTGATCTCGTTAAATGCCATCTTAACCTATAAGAACAGATACAATCTCATGTTTCTAATTTATTTTAATGAAATATGATATTGAAAACAAAAAAAAAAAATTTGTTTTGTCAAAAATATTATTTCAAACCTCCGAGTGCTGATGAAAGTAAAGCTTCATTAACACCATAATAATGATCACTATGTAAATATAAATCAAGAATTGTATTAAGAAAAAAGATACGAATTGTTGCAGCAAATATTCGATAAGATATAGCTAATTTTCAATCAGATAAATAATAAGGTAAACGTATTTTAACATCTCGAATCATTCCTGCAAATCGATAAAAAATTGATGTATAATGAGATGAATAACCATATTTTGAATCAATATTATTTTCATCATCAAGATTTTGATCAATATTTGATGTAGTTATGATTTCATCATTCGATGGTAAAACAAATATATTTATATTATTTTCATTCAAGTTATTCATATTATAGTAAATAATTCTAATTTTGATAAGTTATTCAATGCTAAATGCAATGAAATATTTTATGTCAATTGAATAATAAATTCGAAAGAATAAGAAATATTTTATTATACGTATTAAATAAGTTTAATGATTAATTACATTATTATTGATCAGAAGAATACAAATTGATTTTTATTTTTGCATTCAAAGTTCAGACTATTGACTTGTTCTATTTCAATAGTCATGATTTGAATCTATAGATAAATATCATTATTTAATAATAATTCAATAGGTTGCATGTTCATTCAAATATTTAATCAGGAAATTTATTAAATATATTAAAAAGACAATCTAATCGTTCTAAATAAACAATGAGAAAAGTCGTTGATGTTATTGAAAAATATCTTGTTGATATGAAATAAATTTTGATTTTTACAAAATTCTATTATACTAAAATCAATAAAATAATAAATCGAAGTTCTTTAAGATAAATTAAAGCAATTGTATACTGATTTTATTTATTGAAAAAACCGTAGATGGTTCTATGAACGTCAACCATATTTAATTTCCGGTTAGAAGAGAAGCTTGCAGAAATATATTGTTGATAAAAGTCTTCTGTCATGATTTTGCTTCAATGTCATCAATAATTTTGATAAAAATATAAATTACTCTTATTATTTTTTTTTTTGTCAAATATTTTCTTAAGTTGAATCATATAACAATATCTACATGAATAAGTCATGATATTCTATTCAGTATTTTTTTTTTCACGTGAATGTCAATGAATATTCATTAAGTCACTTAGTACAATCAATGGCAAACGTTTAGTAAACAACCAATCAAGATTATTATTGACAATATTCAAGGATGTCACAAAAATTGATGTTTATCATCTTGATTAATAACAAAAAGCCACTGACGATCATTCTAAACTGTCCGACACAATAGTGACAATTTGCCCATAAACAAGTATAAATCATAATCATATTTGTATTTGACATGACGCGTCATATTTGTTCGTATACTCTTTGCATACCTTGAAATGTATATTATAATCAAAAATAAGGTTAATAACACCTGTAGAGATGCATTCTATTTATTCATAAAAAAAAACAAAGGGAAAAAAGGACAAACTTTTTGCATCGGTTATAATAAAGCAAAAATTTATTTTTTTTTAAAAACAACAAAAAATAATCCATTTGCTTTCATTTTATTCTAATATACGTACAAGTATTATTATTAATATTATAAAGAAGAAAATATTTGATTTTATTTTTTTAGAAAAAAAGTTATTATTTATCTTTGTTAATAGTAAATAAGATAACAACAACAAAAAAAAAGGAAAAACACTCATAAAACAATTATGCAACAACTCTCATTCGAGGAGTATTGGAGTACAATAGTCTACTATTATTATTATTATTATTATTAGATAATGCTTGTCGATGTTTTTTAAACAGACTTGCTGCACATGCAACTGCACCACCTTGTAAAAAACGAACAAGTTTATCACCAGCTAATGGACCTAATGCATAGACATTTTCAAAATCAATACATTCATAAGTATATGGATCAATATGAAGACCATTTTTTTTCTTTGTACTCGACGAAGAAAGAAAAGGTAATGTCACATCAGCTCCAGTAACTCGAGCTACAAAGGATATATCATATTCAGTTGTTACTTGTGTACGAAGATTTCGTATATGTGCAGTACCATCTTCAGTTATTGATAGAATTTCACTTTGTGAAGAACATTGATAAGACCATTGAGATGATGAGGACTATAATTTAAGAAGAAAAAGTTTAGTTTCTCAAATTTACTATAATTTTTTTGTTTCTAACTATTTAACCTACCATAGATGTTGACTGTCGAATTAATTCTCTTATACGTTCATATTCAGGAAAAACATTCGTAGGTAATTGATTTAATACAAGTTCATGATCATCAATAGTTCGACGAAATACATGTAAAACAGGTATAGAATATTGTTGACATAGAAGTAATACATCTACTGCTGTTAGACCACATCCAACAACAAGTAATGGTTTACTATTATTATTTAAACGTTTTTTATTTATAATAAGTTCTTCAATATCATGTAATGTTGTATAAGTAAATGATTGACTTGCTTGTTCACCAATAATACCTAATGATCTTGTTAGTTTTTGTGGCATACCTGTTGCTAATACAACATATTTAGCATGTATAACAAATGAATTTTTATTTTGTTCATTATAACCACGTATTTCCCATAAACGTTCAGGTGTACGAATTTCTTCATTTATATCATCATAATATGGTGCATCAATACAAACACGTTCAATTGATGTTACTTCATGACCATTACGAAAAAAATTTGTTAAACGATTTCGTTTAACATAATTTATATAATATGAATGAACTTCATCATATGTTGCTCGTTTAGATTGATTTTCATCTATTGTTGTTATTGATGATGATGAATTTGATCGAGATGTTCGACGTTGTTGTCGAAATGTAGACATTGAATAATTTGGTAATTCCATCCAATCAGCCATACTAATTGTTTGTAATTGTTTTGATGTTAATTGATTCCAAACACCACCAATATTACCACGTCCAATACAAAGATGATCAATAGATAATGATGGATCATGACGCCATTTAATTTTTGATTGTAAATGTGCACCAAGATCAGCATCTGGATGTAATAAATTATCAATAAGTAATGAAACAGGATTTTTTGAACGTCCTTCAAGTCCATCAGATAAAAATTCTAAATCCTAGAAAATAAAATAAACAAATTTGATTATTGATTAAAATATATTAATAAAAAGTAGAGTTAGCCAAAAAAAATAAAAGATCTATGTCTTTTTTTGAATAGACATTTCTTTAATAAGTAAATGTCAATTAGGAATTTGTTTTAGTTTGTATAGAAAAAATATATTGTTTGAAGAATTTCTTCTTCAATTCATTTTATTATTCTAACCTGTTCAAGTAATGATGTATCTTTAACAAATTGTTCTAATCTAGCATTTAAATAATCATTTGATACTGGACATCCATTCCAATAAGGTATATGACCAGATAAAATATAAGATAGAACAATAGAAGATGGTCCATTACCTACCAAAAAAAATATTTTTATTTTATTTAAATATAAATAATAAAATATTTAAAATATACCTATAATAACAACTTCTTTACGTTCACAAAGATCAGGACAACATTGATCAATAGTAGTAGTTGTAGTAGTGTTCATTGAATAAAAAATAATAAGAAACTTGAGTAAGTTATGATTACTAAAATATGTCTGTTGTTTTCCGGGATTGTAATGGAATAAATATCTCGATTCTACTTTGTAAATGAGTGCTATAAAGAATGAGAGGAAAGATAGATGAGGGAATATGCTCTGTCATACTTCGATTATATATCCGACTGTTTCTCTCTCTTTTTTTTTCTTCTTTCGTTCTCTTTCTCTTATATTTCTCTGAAATTTGAGAGAATGACTTTTTCTTTTTTCTGTTCGAGAGAAAGAAAAAAGATTGTTCGCTCTTGTTTTTTTGTCCTTCATAGGAACAAAAAAAAGAAAACACAAACTATGAACCAGAAGTTCAACTATTATTTATAGCAATAGAAGGAAAACAGCTGCTATATGTTAAAATTAAAAGAATGGACAAAAAATAAATAAACATTTTTCTTTAATGCTAAACAATGACCAGGTATTACAAAAGGAAATGTACCGATAATGATTTTTTTCTTTCCTTTCTTTCTGCCTTTTTTTTTCTTCTCGTTTCTATATTTTACTTGTATAATGATGACGATGCAAATTATCGAGTGACTGTTAAACAGTCTGTCTATAATCTTGTTGCTATTTTCGTTATGAAATAGATGTAGATGAATGTAGACAAGAGAACAAGCAAAATGCATACCATTGTAATTGAAAGTAGAACAATAAAAATTTTTGTCTTTTTTTTTTAATGTTTGATCTGAACAATAGTACAAAAAAATATTCCTAATCAATAAATCATTTATTTATATATAAAATGGTATTTCATCGTACTATTGATAAAAATTGTTTTTGTATAGAAACTTATCTCTATGGACTTTACAATTACGTATTATCTCTTCTTCGTATTGTTGTATTTTTGTGAGTAGATTAACACACAAGAAAAACATAGCTATGGCGTATTTTATTTCATGCCCTTAAGACAAAAAAAAAGAGAAATAACATATAGTTTTCAAAACATTCATCATTGACATAGTTATTATTAATAGTTTATATAGGTGACTATTGAATATCAACTTCAAAGATGTTCTATCACCTATATAAATAAAACTCAGAAGGAAGTTTTTTTTTAAATCAAACTGAATCACTTCGATGACTATATGAATAACATTTTGCTCTTAGATGTCATGACCTAAAGTACGATTAGACAAATATCATATGACTGATTTGTATTCGTCTATGTATATAATGATCAATTGATAATTAAATGTCAATATTCATTTGGATAATTGTTGTTTATAAGAAATATTCTCAATACATTATGAAATAAGAAAAAATTTACATGCTGAATTCGACTAAATTAAAAAAATGTTAAGATTTTCAAAAAAAAAAAACAAAAGGAAATTATATAATGTTAGGTTGTACTAAATAATTTGACATATAAATTTCTGAAATTTCCTTTTTAGAAACCTGAATACTTTGTGTATAAGATATAAAATTTTATATATAATCAAAACGTAAAAGTTCGAAATACTGTTATCATTTCGATCACAACATAGATGGACAAATGTTAGATAAATTATCATATGATTTTTGCTTTTTTTTTTTCGTCATTTAATTTTTCATTTGAGTACAAGCGATTGCTGCAGCAGAAATTAAATCATCATCATCATCATCATTATCATCATTCGAAATTTTTTTTTTATCAATAGAAGGATATAATTGATCAAGTTGAATTAATGAATGTAGAATATTTGTATCAGTTTGATTTGATAATTTTTGTAAAGAATCAAATGAAAATGGTAAATATTTTTTATCATCTTCAGATGATATTAAATTATTTGTTAATTTTTTTTTACGTGTTTGATGAATCATATCAGCTAATTTTAAGATAAAACAAAAAAAAACTATAAAGTCTAATCTTTTTTTTCAATTATTTTGTTTTGATTTCTACCTGTTCGATTTGAATGTTGAAATTTAGGCGGATCAGGTTTGAGATCAATATGAAATTGATCTCCATCATGTATATTATATCTAAATAATCAAAATTATTAAAAGATAAATAAACATATCAAATTCAATTTAATAATTTTATTTGTTTGTTGTTTCTTTTTTTTTTTTTTGTTTTTTTGATAAGAATTAATCTTATTGAATTACAACAAAAAAAAGTGAAAATTTTTCTACAAATATCCCATTGTAAAAATTAATTTGAACTTTTAGATTCTCAAATTTTGAATTGAAACGTTTAAGAATGTTCTAGAATATTTTAGAAATTTCTTCATAATTTACACTATTATTTACACTATGTGTTCTATATCATCAAATTACGTGTTTGTATGCCTATCGTGCTGAAGAATCCGAATAGCTATATATCATCTGGATAGAGAGGAGTACGCGAGAAATCTAGGACATTCTTTATCTAGATTGTTTTGAGAATGTAATATCAGGTTTCTTTTTTTTGAAGAGTATTAGGTTTTGATTTTTAAAAAAACAATCGAAAATAGTGTTGAAAAAGAATTAAAAATTTTTTTTTTGTATGATCTAATCTCAAACTTGTTCATTTTTGAAATCATATATATTACCTGAAAGAAAATATTCTAGAAAATTTTTATACACAACTCCATAGGTATACATCTATCTATTAATTGACTAATTCTCGAAAGTTGGTGCATTGTAAGAGAGCATGTACTATATTTTTATAAACTATTTCATAAACAAATATTTGTATAAAACATATGTAATATTACCCAAAGAACTCAGATGAGAACAAAGCTTATAATAGACTTTAGACCAACCCCCATCTCTTAGGACCATGATAGACGTTGTTGACATGGAATAAATTACCCGTATATCAACAATGTCGTGTTATAAAAATATACGAACTACCTTTGTCTTATATTTTTCGAGTATTAAGTAAAATGATAGCGAAGACATATGTCTGAAACTACATCGAATAAAGTAATCGTCTTGTGATCAGTGATAACAGCTGCATCTTATTTCACACTTAAATCGCAAAGAGAATGACGCTAACGGCTTATTTTTTTGTTTTTTTTTGTATATAGATTTAATTATCAGAATTGCGTTGCTAAATTTAATAAAAAAAAGAAATTTATCTAATAGAAATATGCTTTTTATAAGAATATTAATATTTTTCAATATTAGTTTTGTTTATCTATGATATTAGTACAGACAATGTTTTATTCAATGTGAAAGTCGAAAGGGGGGGATGGTACTCCTTCAAAAGAGAAAAATCAGAATGAAACATGAATACCGTATTGATAATGTGAATTTTTTCAACTTGTAAATATCTGTTGTAGTTATATGTTACTATAATAAAATAGAAATAATCTAATCTCTTCCTTTTTATGACAATTTTATTGTTTTCGACGAAACAAAAAAAATCAGTTAAATTTTCGCTGAAACAAGACTTAATCCTTTGCAAATATATATAAGATATGATTAGTCATATTTATTAACATACGTATGTAATAATCGTTGTGGATATTTAAGTTCTTCTGGACCACATATACCCATATTAAAAGCTACATCATCAATATAAAAAACACGTAAACGATTTAATGGTATTTGAAAAATTTCTTGAAGATATTTTTTAAATTGTTGTACTGTTTGTCGAATATCAATTTCTTTATTATATGTTATTTGATTATATATAAGATGTACTTGCATTAAATAAGGTGTACGAATTTTAATATCAACTAATGGTTTAAGATTTCCATGTTTTTCAATTAAATCAAAATATCTATAACAAAAAAAAAAAAAACTCTTATCAATATTAATTTATAAGAATTCATTTGTTTTTGTTTTACCGTTGTGGTTTATCATCATATTGAGAATAATAACGAATAAATCGTCTTTCATTTGTTTCTCTTTCATTTGCTGTTATATCACTTCCATTTAATTTTTTAAGATTTTTCATATATCCAAGTAAAAGAAAAAATCTTTCATCTTTTTGATAGGACTAAAAACAAGTTTTTATTTTCTACTTGTAAAATAAATAAAAACTATAAAACCTTAAGAAGTGGTACTGAATAAATTCTTAATGTATGTAAACAAGGTAATTTAGTCAATGCAATAATATCATTCCATTCAGATATTTGAACTCGATCAACACTAAGTGTATGTAAATATGGTAAACATATTGTAACATCATCATCATTTGAATGAAAACTTTTTAAAGGATTATCACTAGCTATTAAGATTTCTAAATGTGGAAATAAATAACCAAGATGACATATAGATTTCCAATCAATTAAATTATTATTTGATATATATATACGTTTAAGATTATTATGTATAAAATTATAATTTGATGATATTATTGTATAATTATTTGAACAAATTTGTAATTCTTCTAAACTAAAAAAAATATCAACGTATACAATTAGAATTATTTGTCATATGATGAAGATTAAAACAAATGTTTAGTGCGTGTTCAATAAGCTTTTTTTTTTACATTCATAATTTTCTTTTCTTAATAAGTAAATGTAATGAGAAATGATTTAGTAGACGATTAGATTCTCTTTCAATATATATATATATATGGAATAATGGGTCAAATCTATTAGATCTAAGAAAAGATGTTCGTTTAAATACATTTTAATGATCAATCAGAAAGATGTATGACATCTAGAACAGAATATGCACTATATATATCTAGAGATAATTTGTGTTTTTTTTTATTATAAATCGTATTCCTTTGAAATTAATGCGAATTATTTTCTTTTTTTTTCTTCAATACGAAAAAAAATTAGAGTTTTAAAAAATATTGTATTTTTGCTCAAAAAACAAAAAATCTATGATTTTCTACTAACTTTGATGTTTTTTTAAGTACTTCTACAATCATTTCAAGACTAATATGACTTCCGTTTAAACATAATGTATTAAGATTAGGCCATTGAATTTGATCAGATAATCTATAAACATGAGATGAAAATGGATTAAAACTTAGATTAATTGTTTTAACATGAGGTAATGATGAAAGAAGAAGTGTTATCTAAATAAAATCATTAAAAACAAAATTTCATCAATCCATTGCAAAAAATAAATCAACAAACTTCATCCCAATCAGATAATGTATTTGATGAAATATCAACAAGTTCAACTTGTGAACATGCTTTTTCTATTGCACAAGGATCACCAACATGTGAAATACGTTCATCAGTTAAAACAACTGTTGATGTATTAAGAATAAGACCTGTTTCTAAAAAAAACAAAAAGTCGAACGAATTTATTTTTCTTAATTTTTTCATTAATATCTTTACCTGTATTTTTCGGTGATGGACCAACAAAAAAGACAATGTCACAATCATTTTTAAGATCATCAAATGTTGCATCAAAATCACAATAACGTTCATAAAGAGCATCAGAAAAAGATCGACCGATTACTTTAATTGTATTCATGTCGATCTAAACTAAACGATATAGACTTTCGTCTTACTATGTTGATATTCTTGTCCTTGTTGTGTTCCCTCCCGCTTCTTTTTTTTTTTTTTCTTTACTAATAAACGTTCGTCTATTATTGGCTTCTCTATAATAGAGCATGCAAAAAATGACAAGGTCAGCTTTTTATTTCTCATATACTCTTTTGAATACTTCAATCATTAAATATATTCTGACATATATCATCATCAGATGACTTATTCTTCATATATAAAGAATTATTACTCGAACTACGATAAAAAATTTAGCACGAGTGTCAAGATAACAATCGATCAGTCTTACATTCGATAAAAAAAAAAAAAGAAATGAGATAGATAAGAAATGATCTTAGGTCATATATAATATTAGAAGCTGACAAAAAAAATCCTGCAATTCACTGAACAGAGATAGAAGTAATAGAGAAAGAAAAAAAATTGTGCCAATGATTCAACTAGACGAGCCATTTGTACTACATGTATGAGCTCTTTGACACTGGCTTGCTACATCACCGATTGTCCGTTCTTTTCTTTTTTCCTTCTTCTATTCTTTTGTCATTTTTATAATTCAAACTATCACAACTAGTAAGTTGTGCAATCCCACTTTTTTTTTCTTTATACTGAACACACATACATACATGTACACACAATCTGTAAATGCTTGCTTTTTTTTACTATACACTCATCACAACTAGCAAACAATTAATCACCCTTTTAATATAATCATTAACACATACAAAACAACAGTAGTTATTATATAGAATATGTCTCTATCATATAAAAGTATGTTATTGACAATATTGTGTTAGACATGTCCATCAAGAAATGCACACTGACTTGAAGTATTTTATATGGCGACGTTTTACTCGCCAAAAAATGTGTTTATTTTTTTATTTATTCACGAACAACATACAAGAAAATGGAATAGACGAATTTTTAGTGCACATAAATCAAAGAAAAATGTTAGACAATGAGAATTATTCGAAAGCAAAAAAAAAAATATATAAAGAGCTAAAGTCAAAATATGAGAATGAAATAAAAATTATTTTGATTAATTGGCAAGAAAAAAAAAGAGAGAGACAGAGACAGATCGTTTGTTTGTTTTTTTTTTTGATTTGAATATGATTTAATGGTCGATGTCAAACATAATTGCATGTCGACCAACTGAATATACAAATGAAGAACCTTTTGTTGAACGACGTCGACGATCTAATAATATAATAACAAAAAAGAAAAAATACAATTATTAAAAAAATTCAATAAAATTTACTTTTCATTTCTTCAGCTGTTTTTGGAACAAGACGATATGTTTTAATTTCTTTTGGACATGTACTAGCTACAATTGGACCATATGCAGCAACATCAGATTCAGTTAAAGCTGGTGTTTTAACTTTCATTGTTTTACGTAAAACTTCATTATCCGGTAAAAATTGTCCGGACTGAAAAAACAAATATTAACTTTTAAAATTTTAATTGAATTTTTTTTTTCATTACCATCATAGCTAAAAATGTTTCAATAAGATTAGCCGGATTTGGTACATGTTGACGATCAAGTGGCATAATGAAACATTTATTTACACCAAAATCACGAATAGCAGTAATATTCTATTTAATAAATAGATTTTTATTTTTTTTCATTATAAACAAAATAAAATTACATGATCAAAATCTTCAATTATACGAACAGTACTTGTAAAACCAATTTGTGGTACTTCAATTGTTTCAATATTTTTTTTAAGATCAACATTTATCTATGATAAAGAAAAAAAATGATAATCCAAATATATAAATTCTTTTTTGTAATCTCAATCTGAATGATTATATAAGAAGTAATACTATAAAAGAATCTTAGAGTAATTAGAATAATGAAATATATATATATATATCTTTTTTAATATTCAAGAAAAGAATTTTTCCTCATCAAAGTATATTGAAATATCATATAATACAAATTTATTAAAGGATTTCTAGATGACTGAAGTTATTAGTAATATTTTTATAGAACTAACACTAATAACTTCATAACTTTTACATTATATAATACAAAAAAATATTTATTTTAATTGTTACATACTTCTTGTTGAAATTCCTGTTGAGGTTTTGATATTTTTTCAGGTGTTAAAAGTTGATTTTTACCATCATCAAAAGCAGTTAAACCACCATGATCAAAGAAAATAGGTGTATCAGGATCTTTATCCATTGGTTTAACACGAAAACGACATGTTCGACGCCATGTCTAAAAAATATTTTACATATAAAATTTGAATACGAATACATATATATATTCTTTTTCATTTTATCTTACATGATTTGTACGATTAATAAAATCAAAAAGAAGCCATGTTCCAATAACTAAACATCCGAGCATAAATAATGCCGAAAGACAACCAAATAAAATTGATGCTTGTTTTCGACGAACATCTGCTACTGGTGGTATGAGATTTTCATCTTGTTCACCTTTAATTGGCTAAAAAAAAACAATTCAAATTTTTTTGTTTTTTTTTACGAAAAAACATTTAATAACGAACTTACTAAAACAGTGACAAGAACATCGGCACTATTTGTTTCAACCAATTGTTCTTTATCATCAGCCTTATTTGGAGTATTTAATGAAACGCCTACCATTATACCTTGTTTTATATAATAATACAACAGAAAATGAGCTTTTTTTTTTAATTCTATAATAGATAAAGTAACTATGATATAAGAATTATTTTTTTTATTTTTTAAGGCGCAATAAGATCAAAAAAATAAAATGGCATATTGTTAATGACAAGAAAAAAAAAATAATAATAGTAAATATGCCCTTCTTCTTTTTTTTTTTTGGTTCTTATGGCATGAAGAAAAATAACGAATGAATGAAAGAAAAAAAGAAAACCTCGTTAGTTTCTTTTTTTTTTCTTCTTCTTTACTTTGCTATAGTAATGGATATAAACTTCTAGAAGGAATGGAAAAAACAAAAAAAAAGAAAAGAAATTTCATCATCTATTTTGTTTTTTTCTTTTTTACTATAATTAAAATCTTATATTTGAACTAAAGTAATTGAAAAAAAATAAAAGAAATACTGTGTATTATTAGCATACCAACAAAAAGAAAATTACATTTCGGAATTATTCTTTTTAAAAACAAACTATATTTTGTTTACAATTACATCTGCATAAAAATGAATGATGTAATTGTGATTTTGATTTGATTTTATACAGTAGATAAGATATTAAAGGTAAAGACAATCATGTGTTTCGTCAAGGTATAATACTCAATAGATAAAGCAATCTAGATATTATTTGTTTTATGTAAAGAACGAAAATAACAAAAGAAGCTTCTATTGGTAAAAAAAAACAAAAAGAACGCTTTGCCCTTATGTATTATATAAATTATTGTTTAATACTTATGACAACAGGGGAAATTTCTACTAAATCATTTTAATTACTGTTATGTTTTCTCAAGCGTTCATTTAAGTAACTGTAAATATGTCAATATAAAAAAAAAACATAAATATTCCATAGAATACCATTATGCAAAACAGAACATATAACTAATTTATAATTCAATATGAAAATAAAATCTTTTATTAATAAATAAAAAATATTATAATTTTCAATTAATAATCAATAGACATAGAATTTAAGAGGTTAACAATCAAGTATTATGGCTATTTATATAACCAATGAGGTAATTACTCATGAAAAACGCGTATATTATTTTGTTTTACGCAATATTCATAAATTAAATTCAAGATGGCTCAACGTATAGCACGTCTTTCACGTCAAACATCACTTCTATTATTATGTGATATGCAAGAAAAATTTCGTCCAACAATTAAATATTTTCCTCAAATTATTGAAACATCAAATAAATTATTACAAGTATGTAAAATTCTTAATGTTCCATATGTTGTTACTGAACAATATCCAAAAGGTAATTATTATAAAAAAACAAAAAACAAAATTAGCGAAATAATTCTAATATTTTTCAAAATCTAGGTCTTGGTCGAACAGTAAAAGAACTTGATATTGGTAATGTAAAACCATTTGAAAAAACATTATTTTCTATGTGTACACCTGATGTTATATCACATATGAAAAAAACAGTCAAAGGTATAATATTTATTCATATATATATATATAAAATGATTTTTTTTTATAGATTTTAATACAGCTATTATTTGTGGTATTGAAACTCATGCATGTGTACTTCAAACAGCTATTGATTTATTATCACAAGATTATCGTGTTTATGTTGTTGTTGATGCTGTATCATCACGTTCATTAACTGATAGGTATTTTAATTGAATTATTTATTATATAATCTTATAATAATAATAATACTTATTATTATATAGAATGTATGCATTTGAACATATGCGTCAAGCCGGTGCTTTTCTTACAACATTTGAATCAATTATTCTTCAATTAACACAAGATGCTGGTCATCCAAAATTTAAAGAAATTCAACAATATATTAAAACATCTGCAGCTGATACAGGACTTCTTGCTTTAAAAAATATACCAAATTCATCATCATAAAAATCTTTAGTTCCCTTTTTTTTCTTATTTTTGATTATCATTAAAAAACACAAATAGAAAATCCTTTCTTTTAATTAGAAATGAATTATGATTATTTTTTGTTTTTTTTTTTCTAGATGACAGTTGATCTTTATATATTTGCAGCTGGTACAGCTCTCACGGGTCTTGTATTTTATTATTTAGCTGGTATGAATAATTTTTATAAAACATGATTTAGTACGAATGTTGAATAGTGGCGTAATCCGGGGATGGCTAAGCCCCTCCACCGTTAAAATCCTGATTTCGCCACTAGTGTTGAAGTATAAGAATAAAAAAACGTTAATTTTCTAATCAGGGCAGATATCTTAGTAATAACTTCTCAGCTTGAGGAGTAATGCATTGGGCATAAATAGAAGATTAATTTTGTTACAAGTCTAGAAAGTAATTAATTTTTTTAGTTCTTCGTCATATGTAAAGTATTTTCTAGTAAGAATTGTAATGTTTGATTGATAGAATAAAACTATTTCATTGTTTTTTATATTTAAATCTTTTAGGAATAATATTAATAATTTTTGATCGTTTTTTTTTTAGGAGCAGAATGGTCACTTTGGCATTTGTTTACAATTCCACTTTATACGTTTATTTTTATTGTTTTTTTATCATTGAGTATTTTAAAACGTTTTGTAAGTCATATATTTTTTTTTTTGTTTCTAAAAATTTTTATTGATATAAATCTATTAGAAAACGCAATTATCAACAAAAATAATTTCTCAAGATAAAAATGGAATTACAATTGTTTTTGGTTCTGTTAAAGGAAATAGTCGAGTAAGATTTAATATTACAAAAAAAAAAATAAATAATTTCTAATTCTATTTTTCTATTAGACATTTGCTCAATTAACATATGATAAATTATTAAATGAATTAAATCGTCAAGTTATTCTTCAAGATTTAAATGATATTACAGATCCAGAAGAATTTCTTCAAATACAAGTATTTATTTATTTTCTTTTTTTTTTATTATTATTAATTAAAAATCTGTTTTAATTAAAGGTTAAAAATCAAAGAATATTATTAATATTTATTTCTACATATGAAGATGGTATACCACCACCATCAGCTAAATGGTTTCTTCGTTATTTACAAGAAGCAGCAACTGATTTTCGTGTTTCAAAAAATGAACTTGAAAAATTAACTTATACTATATTTGGATGTGGAAATTCACTTTATAATGATAATTTTAATAAAGTAAAAAATTATTAAAATTTTTTTTTTTATTCATATATGAAAAACATTATCAATAGGTAGCAAAAGAACTTGATCGATGTTTATTAGAATTAAGTGCTAAACAATTTATACCATCTGAATATGCTGATGAAAATACAGTAAAAAGTATCTATGGAGGTAAACAAAAAGTATAATTTAAATTTTACAAAAAAAAAAAAAGTTTTTCGTAATTTAGGTCTCGAAGGACATTATTCAAAATGGTTATCACAATTAATATCAAATTTACAATCATCAAAAGCTGATAAATGTGATTGTTCAAATGATAAATCAATAAATTGTTGTCAATCATTAACAAATAATAATCATTCAAATGAAAATATTGAACAATTACGAATTGAAAGTGATGATGATGATGAAGATGGTGGAGGTTGTAAAAATGGTAATGATGATATTATGGATTTAGAAGATATGGGTGATTATATGGAAACACATTCACCAAATAAAGTAGAAAGAAATTTTTCATAGATAATAAAAAATTTCTTATTTTTTAGACAACAAAAGGTCCACCAAAAGAAATGATTACTCCATTAATACGTAAATCATTAGAAAAACAAGGTTATAAATTAATTGGTAGTCATTCTGGTGTTAAATTATGTCGATGGACAAAGGTTCTATATATATACATATTTCGATTATTAATATTCAATAGAAGAGATCAAAAAGTTTTGAGAATTTTAAAAAAGAAACATGTCATGTTGTAGAGCAAGTCAAGACGCATCGAATGATATATCAGAAATCTTGTTTTCATAAGATTTTGAGGAAATCAGACTGAATTTACTGATAGGCGATCATCAAATGAAAGCACTGATCAGTGGCGGATCTAGCCGTTCGGCGATTGAAGTTTCAAAGCGATTACACTACGTAATTTAACCTTTCTCTAACCAAAAAGATAATTCCATTCGCGCTGACCTATATTTCTTACTGCTTCAAAGAAAAAGTAGCTCCCCTCAGTCTGGCAAAATCCTAGATCCGTCACTGCTTGAAAGTGTTTGTAAAAATAATTTTTCTATATACAGTTTTGTAGCACTTTTTACGGACTACAAGCTCATGTAGTCAACATCTCCGATCGTTTTATCTTTTATAGGAAAAAATACAACTTTTCGATGATCCACTATCGTTTTCTAAGGGCAGTGGCTGTTGGGAAATCTTTGAATCTATGAGCGTCTATCAGTAAATCTAGTCTAATTCTCTCAAAATCTTATGAAAACTTTCTCGATTTGATCTACAATATGGTGTGTTTGCTTTCAAATCCGATATTGCTCTTTTTAAACTTCTCAGAACTTTTTGATCCTTCTAGTAACTTTATTTCTTTTTTTTTCTTATAAATAGTCAATGTTAAGAGGACGTGGTGGATGTTATAAACATACATTTTATGGTATTGAAAGTCATCGTTGTATGGAAACAACACCAAGTCTTGCATGTGCAAATAAATGTGTTTTTTGTTGGAGGTAAATTTACTCTTTTTTTTTGTTATCTTTCAACTGAATATATTTTTATTCAATATTAATAGACATCATACAAATCCAGTTGGTACATCATGGCAATGGAAAACTGATGATGCTCAAACTGTATGTCAAGGTGCTATAGAAAATCATTATAAAATGATCAATACATTTAAAGGTGTACCTGGTGTATTACCTAGTCGACTTGCTGAAGGTATATATATAGAAATTTTCTGTTGTGGTTTAATATTTTTTTGTCAGGTATGCAAATTCGTCATTGTGCATTATCACTTGTTGGTGAACCAATAATGTATCCACATATAAATGAATTAATTGATTTACTTCATTCAAAAAAAATAAGTTCATTTCTTGTTACAAATGCACAATTTCCAAATGAAATGAAAACATTAGAACCTGTAACACAATTATATGTTAGTGTTGATGCAGCAACAAAAGAATCATTAAAAAAAATTGATCGTCCATTATTTCGGGATTTTTGGGAACGATTTTTAGATAGTTTACGAGCATTAAAAGATAAAGTAAAGAACAAAATATAAAAAAAAAAATATTTTTATTTATATATATTTATATAGGGTCAACGAACAGTTTATCGTTTAACATTAGTTAAAGGTTATAATACAGAAGAAATAGAACAATATGCAAAATTAGTTGAACTTGGTGATCCAGATTTTATTGAAGTTAAAGTATATATATATATATATTAATAAAATTTCTCAAATTAAAATATATAAATAAAATTTTTTTGTTTTTTCTAGGGTGTTACCTATTGTGGAGATTCAAGTGCAAGTCATTTAACAATGGCTAATGTTCCATGGCATGAAGAAGTTGTAACATTTGTTAAATTACTTTGTGATCGTTTACCACAATATGATGTAGCATGTGAACATGAACATTCAAATTGTCTTTTACTTGCTAATAAAAAAGTAAGAATATTTAAAAACAAAAAAAACTAATTTTCACAAAAAAATGATTATTTTTTCTAGTTTTGTATTGATGGTAAATGGTATACATGGATTGATTATGAACGTTTTCATGAACTTGTTACTCGACATAAAGTAACATCAGGTGCTGAAACATTTACATCAGTAGATTATATGGCAATAACACCTGATTGGGCAGTTGTTGGTTCAAATGAACGTGGTTTTGATCCAAATGATACACGATGGTATCGAAAAGCTACAGCAAAAAAAAATTTATCTGGTTGTTAACTTCTTTTTTTTGTTTTTGTTTGTTAATCTCATTGTTTTTTGTGTGATTGAAAAAATCTAAAAACAAACTTGATGTGTTCTTTTTTTTTTCTTTTTGCTATTGTCCTATGGTTTTCCTTTGTTTTAGTTTTCTAGATGGCATCTCGTGTTCGTATAGAAAAAATGTCGGCAGAAGTTGTCGATACAAATCCATATAGTCGTTTAATGGCATTACAACGTATGGGTATTGTACAAGATTATGAACGTATACGAGATTATTCAGTTATGATTGTTGGTGTTGGTGGTGTTGGAAGTGTAGCTGCTGAAATGCTTACACGATGTGGTATTGGAAAGGTAATATATATATCTTATATACAGTGGCGTAGTCAGGAATTTTTCAGTCATGGACAATTCATCAGCCGAACTATTTTGAGCTAACGAGGGAACCTCTTCAGGTGTAAAATCGCTTTTCGCTCGAGACTATTGCCGTTAGATAGGTCTTAGCGAGTAGTGAAAAAGTTCATAAGGGTTTCGGTGCACGGCCTTCTCTTGTTGAGTTATGAGTGTTTTACCCAATTTTTGGTCTATGAGCATAGCATTTCCGAAAAAACTCTTCTAATGACCATGATACCTATATATGGACAACATTTCAGCTCGAAATTCAACCAGAGTTTTTTCGAAAATGCCATGCCCATAGACCAAAAATTGAGTAAAACACTCATAACTCAACAAGAGAAGGCCGTGCACCGAAACCGTTATGGACATTTTTACTACTCGCTAAGACCTATCTGGCGACAATAGTCTCGAGCGAAAAGCGATTTTACACCTGGAGAGGTTTCCTCGTAAGGGCAATCGTTATGATTTCAAAAATATCTATGGGCAACAACTGTTCAAGCATTGCATAGCTCAATAAATTCATGGGTAATGGCCCTACCCGTGACTACGCCACTGTTTATATAAAAGAAAATAATAGATTAAACAATATTGATTACTATCTTATATTTTTAGTTATTACTCTATGATTATGATAAAGTTGAATTAGCCAATATGAATCGTTTATTTTATCAACCTCATCAAGCTGGTCTTAGTAAAGTTGAAGCCGCTGCTGATACATTAAGGTATAAATATATTATTATATTTATATGATAAATGTATATATATATATTAATTAAGATTTATTAATCCTGATGTAATTATTGAATCATATAATATGAATATAACTAAAGTAGAAAATTTTCCATTATTTATGGAAAAAATTCGGTAAAATTATGAAAAATATAATCGAATATAAATAGTATACATTGAAATATCTTTAGAACTGGTAATAAAAATAATTCAGGTCATGTTGATCTTGTACTTAGTTGTGTTGATAATTTTGGTGCAAGAATGACAATTAATACAGTAAATATTATCAAATAAAATAAAGTTTATTTTATTTTATTTTTCTAGGCATGTAATGAACTTGATCAAACATGGATGGAATCAGGTGTAAGTGAAAATGCTGTTAGTGGTCATATACAATTAATTGTTCCAGGAAAAACTGCTTGTTTTGCTGTATGTATATATATATAAGAGATTGTTTTGATTTTTTATGAAATAAAATAAATTAATTTTTAGTGTGCTCCACCATTAATTCTTGCTAGTAATATTGATGAAAGTACATTAAAACGTGAAGGTGTTTGTGCTGCAAGTCTTCCAACAACAATGGGTATTGTTGCTGGTTTTCTTGTACAAAATACACTTAAGTTTGTATTTTTTTTGTTACGATAAAAAAAGGAAATTTCTATTTTATCTTTATTTAGATATTTACTTAAATTTGGTCGTATTTCAAATTATATTGGTTATAATGCACTTGATGATCATTTTCTAGTAAAATTTTTTTTTTTTTATTTGAATTTTTTGTTCGAATATTAAAAAATAAATTTGTAGATATTAACATTAAAACCTAATGAAGATTGTGATGATTCATATTGTCGTAAAAGACAATTAGAACATCAATTACATCCTGTTGTTATTGAAGAAAATGTTCCATCAATAAATACTGAAGTCGTACATGAATCAAATGAATGGGGTAATTATATTTTATAGTAGTTTTTAAATTTATTATAGTAAATTACATTTTAAAAATTATACTAATAATATTTATCATTAGGTATTGAACTTGTTAGTGATAGTATTGATGTTCCAAATGAAAATCTTATTGATAAAAATCGTATTCAATTAACATCATCATCAAATGGAACTGTTTCACTTGATCAAATTAAATATCAATATATTCCGAAAATAAAAAATGATTCACAAATTGATACATCAGATAATGAAACATCAGCTGCAAGTACAACACGAGATGATGATATAACAATTGAAGATTTAATGGCTAAAATGAAAGAAATGTAAAAGAAAAACTAAAATAATATGCTAAACATTTTTATTTATTTGTTTTATTACTGTCATTTAAATACAGTGTTGTTATTTTATTCTCTTCTTTTTTTTTGCTTGTGCATCTATTTTTATTGCTATTGTTGTTGTGTCAAGTCTTCTTGGGAATTGAATGAAAAATTTGAAGTGAAGAAAAAAAAAAATTATCAAATCAAATAGATATTTAAAATCATCAATGACTTATAGGGAGTGCTCAAAAAAGCATGTACATTTTCGCATAAACGAATAATAACGATACTCGGAAAATTTTCTCTCATATCGGACTTTGTAGAGCTTTTTTTGAGCTGATCATTTTGGTAAAAAAAAGGCTTTGATTTTCATTGAGTAATGACGATGTTATAGTCAAAATACTAAACATTGTAATACATACTATATCTAATTTTCAACTGAACATACTCTGAAAATCACTCACTAAATTCGTTACTTTTCAAATAGTAATTATAGAGTTTTGTTCAGTTTTTTATGCGCTTTCATATGAAAGAGTTGGAATTTTTAAAAAATCAAAATTTTATTAAATAATTGCTAATTATTATTAATTAACTGCAATATAAGTGTAAGTGCTTGTTAACAAAATGTAGCCCATTAAATTCTGCGTCGAATGATATATAGAACATCTTTCAGATGTTGTGAAATAACGTAAAAATTAGCCAAATACTAAAAGTGTGCTAAACTTTTTTCTCTACTTTATATTACAATGTTTAGTATTTTGACTATAACATCGTCATAACTCAATGAAAATCAAAAACATTTTTTTACCAAAATGATCAACGAAAAAAATCTCTACAAAGTCCGATATGAGAGACAATTTTCAGAGTATCATTATTATTCGTTTATGCATAAAAACAAAAATGTACATGCTTTTTTGAGCTCTCACTGTATTTCACATAAATTCTATTTTATGTATTGCTTAAAAAAACAAACAAACTTTCTCTATCAGCAAGTGAAAATTCTCTTGATTTAATCACTATTGTATAGCATCGTATTGAATATCTCTTCGATCATTAGCAATTAGTTTTAAAAAATTCTTTTCAAACTACTTAATATTTTACATTGAATATAAATAATCAATCAGTCATTCATAGAAATGATGAAATACTATCAATATATTTTCAAATTAAGTTAGTGTTAAAAACACAAAAAGTACATCCACCAATTACCGTTTAATGGTTCATACAGATGACTACGATATAAAAAAATTATATCCATATAACATACATGAGGAATGAGAAATGAACATAGTCTATCACAGATTAATACTATTGATTTCTCATTAATCGATTAATGAGACTTACATATAATTCAATTCAAAATAAATTTTATATGAATATATCATAAATAATTTACAAAAACAAATGTATACAATTTAAAATATTTTAATAAAAATGTCCCCCAAAGGAGATCATAAAAAATGTTTGCATGTTATTATGTGTACATGTTCTCTCATTTAAACATGTGATGTATTGACACACGTATATATTTAATGCATTCAAATGATCAACGCCTCTCTTGTTCATTCATCATTTAAAGGTTTGTATTTTTAATAGGTTCACCTATCATTTTTCTTTTTGAAAGAAAAAACAAAGAAATCGTTCATTGTTTATTCTGATGCTTGTAGTACTCATTGAAAAATCATATTGAGGTTAGATAAACAAAATATATATACCAACTGAAAGCATTAAAAGCTCTAGTCTTATATTGACATACATAGGTAAGATATGTGAAGTAGTATAAAGAAGAATAATTATTCGGACGAATGCAGTTGAATGAGTTCATAATCGAACTTGAATTTACTAGTGATTTATGAAGAAATAATTTTTTTTGAAAAAAAAAAAAAATTCGAGATCTATATGTGATAGAAAGAAAAAGAAAAAGAACATATTTAATATGTTCAGATATCGGTATATGAAAAAGACAAAGACAATAAGTCAATATTTGCTTCATGATCATATTACACATGTTGATAGAATAATTAGAATGATGGTTGAAAATGATCGATCATCATCATTCATGATGAACTTTTCTAGAAAATATTATCATAGTTTATTTTTCTTATTGTTGCAAAAAAAAAGAAGCATAATTTCCGTTCATTTCACTAGAATATTCGATATAATCTAATCGTTATATATATATGTTTGTAGTCTTCACCCATCGATCATGTTCAATATTATTCATACAAATAATTTAATTACTGAAGATCGTTTGTTTTTTTTTTTTGATCAATGATGAGAAATAGAAACTTTTCTCTTTCTCTTCATATTTTTGCTATTAGAACTATCATGAATGGTTCAAGCTTCCATTCTTTTTTGTCTTCGTTACAGCCATCTCTCTCTTCTAATACAAGAGAAGATTGATTCGTTTTGCTTGTTCATTCATTATGCTTCGTGCAACACACAAGAAAAGAAATGACAGAAAGAAAAAAAAATATAGAGAAGCCTTCATTATTCTTTCTCTTATTATCAAAACGGATTGATTTGAAACGAAACAAACGATTTGTACAAAAGAAAATCATATTACGAACAGGTGTATATGTTTGTTTGTTTGTTTGTTTTTTTTTCTCTAGAGATTTATATTTTGTTGTGTAATTAAATCATTGATAAATGTCATCTGAACATGGTTTACATGTTATGTTAAGTTATCATTGGGATAATAAAGAATTAGTTTCAAAAATTTATAAAGTACTTAAATCAAAAAATATACCCGTATGGATGGATATTCATGGTGGAATTAGTTTTAATCTTTTTCAAAGGTATTTTATTATTTTTTTCTTAAGTTTGATATTGAATCAAGTTTCTTTTTTTGCTTTTTTAAACATAGTATGGCAGATGGAATTGAAAATGCTGCTGTTGTTTGTTGTTTTATGACACCAAAATATCAGACTTCACGTAATTGTGAAAAAGAATTATTATATGCTGACAAACGACGTGTTCCAATAATTCCATGTCGTTTAATACGTGATTGGGAACCATCAACATGGCTTGGATTAGTCATTGCTGGACTTGTATGGATTGATTTTCGTGATACAACTGATGTGAATATTGATTTAAAAATTGATAAATTAATAGAACAAATTCAAATTGTTGCAGGAAAAAAACTTAATTGTTTTCGAACAGGTTTTATTTAAATCTCTAAAATAGAAGAATAATTGTTTATAGGAATGATTGATCTTCTTTAGAAACTCCTTGTACTTTTCAAACTCGTCCAATTAATTCTTCAAATAATCTTTATCCTATTCTTCCACAAACGAATGATGTATCGAATCAAAATAGATCTGATTCAAATAATTTTATACGTTCTCCAGTGAAACAATCAACTTCTACGATATCTCATCAACATCAAAATGTCTATAATACAAATATAATACCACCACCACCACCACCACCACCACCAGTACCTCCACGTCCAAATAAAGATTTAATTCGAGAACGATTATTATCTATTGATACAAAGAAAAATTTTAATGAAATTGACTCTATTGAAGAAAAAAAAGAGAATAGGTATGCTGATTCTTTAACATATATGTATATAAAACTTTTCATTTTAGTATACCCTTGAATAATGAAAAACCAGATATATGTGAAATTTCATATCAACATACACGTTTGATTCCTGTAAGAAAATTTTTGTTATTATGATGAAAAAGAAAAGAAGTTTTATTTTTCAATAGGATGTTCTTGATTTATCACCATCTATAATTACTAATGAAAAAAAACGTAATGGTATTATTATTGATTATTCAAAATTTCGTCGTCTACCTCGTATTATTGGTGATGATAATGATAAAATTTCATTTTGTTGTCCATCAGGTATTGCAGTATCAAAAACAGGTCTTATCTATGTTGCCGATCAACAAAATCAATGTGTTAAAATAATTTCATTGTTAGGAAGTGAAAAACAAATTTTATCACGTCCATTTAATCGACCAAAAGGTGTACATATTGATGAATATGGTCGTATACTTGTAACAGAACATAATCGTTTACTTATACTTGATAATGAACTTAATTTACTTAAATCTATTGGAGATCATGGTTCAAAACCAGGTGAATTTAATGTACCATGGGGTAAGATAAATTTCTGAAAAATAAAAAATTCAGTGGATAAATCTTTATTATCTATTAGGAATTACGACAGATTCATTATCAAATATGTATATATGTGATCAAATGAATAATCGAATACAAAAATTTGATACTGATGGTCGTTTTTTACTAGAATGGGGTTATGAAGGTGAAAATCCAGGTCAATTTTATTATCCACATTTTATTTCTGTGTCAGGCAATCGTGTTGCTGTATCTGATCAATTGAATCATCGTATTCAAGTATTTGATTGTTTTGGAAATTATCATTATAAATTAGGTGAAGTTGGTAATGAACCAGGTCAATTTAGTTGTCCATTTGGAGTATGTATCGATGCAAATGGTCATTTAATTGTTGCTGATCATGATAATAATCGTGTACAATTCTTTGATGCAAATGGTGATATTAAACTTATATTAGATCAGGAAGTAAATCCTTTATTTAATTTTCAAGGTGTTCATGGTTTAGCATTGACTCATGATGGTGGACTTCTTATTACTGATTATAAACGAAATGGAAAACATCGTTTATTTATTTTTGCTTAAAATTTTTTCTCGGACATTTTTTTTGTCTATTTGTGCAATACCATTTGAATATTCTGTTTTGTTTGTCAGTGATTTTTATTAAAATTAATATTAGATTTTATTCATAAAAACAAATATTTGAGTGTAACAAAGTGAATAGATGATAGGTGTCAGCTATAGACGACAAAAAGAATACTACATAGAATGTTTCGTGTTTACCTTCGCAACTGTATTTTATTCATGGAGATGATTAAATCGAAATACTGAATTCATTTTATTTTGGTCTATCTTGGATCTAATGTTTTACAAACAGAACTTACAAAACTTTTTATTAATTCGTTGTTGTAAGAAATATTGAGAGAAATCATCTGAGGGTGTGAGTGGGTGTTAACAGAATATTCGTATCTCACATCGACATCCAGACTCACAAAGCAGTTCAGATTGATAATATCGACAATAGATAAATTCAATGTAAGCCCATGCAAAAGAAATTTCCTCAAAAATCATCAAATAATCGAGTTTTAATCGGTTATAATCATACAACTCTAATCAAGCACTTTAGCTGGAAATGATTTCTGTGTGATTATATCAATTAAAATGTTTGATAATAATTGTATGATTATAATCGATTATTTCATTATTTCTGAAATTTCTTTACATGGTAGTATAGCTTACATCGATCTAAGTTACATTCTAAAAAAGGTGATGCTGTGATAGGTTGATATCAGATAATGATAGTTTCTTGAAGTATGAACAATGAATCATCATAAGGAACTCTAAAAGCGTTACGGGAAACGGAAAACGGTAACAAGAAGGTAAAAATTTAGTCAGGAAAAAAGTTGTTCCCATAGGACTCTAACCCATATCCTCGTTCATATGATTGTTTTAATGTGATCGTATAAAACTCTTCTAATTCAATTAATTGAGTAAAAGTTCGATGAAAGAGAACATGAAGATGACTTAAATTGTTGAAGTAATTGAGTCGATTCTGGATTGCCTAATTCAGTCTTACAATGAATGTCGTCAATTATAGTAGTTATTTGAGATATATAAATTTGTAATTTAGTCTATGGTTTAGATTTTGAGTGTATATTATTAATTATTTGTTTATAATCGGCTAATTTTTTTATGTGTATGATAGAAAAGTTTATTTTGAAATATTTTTCAGCTTCAAGTCTTTCTCAATATTTATTTTCTAGAATGGTTTAATCCATAGGTTTAGATCTCGTCGATGATTATATTGAGCAAATAATTCAAAATAACGATTACATAAAAGACAATGAGCATCTTGATTGGATTGTAATTCGAGAAAAAAATTCGTCGATAAAAATCGACTATAAACAATAAAATACGTCTTCGCTCGAACAGTATCATTACCTATACATTCTATTGGAAGAATAGGATCATAAAGATTTTCTACAGATAATTCAAATAATAATAAATGCTATGTCTAGATAATAGAAATGACAAAGACTTGATATTGAAAATGGATATTATCATTCTTTAGACTTACCGCAGCACCAAACGTAGCAAAAAAGGCGATATAAACTGCTGGAACACTGAGTTCGTTTTCTCCATAGAGTTATTCTAATTCTCATTTTATCATAGAATAGAATGTGGATGAGTAGTGTAAATGTTGATGTTCATGTGTATGAATAGATTACCCACACTACGTTTGGTTTATGTAATGGAAATTTTGTAAGCTGATGCCAAACATCTTTTCATGCATTC